CGCCACATTCTCTTCTCTTTTGTAATCAGGAAATCCAAATTGTAATCGATTTTGAGAGAATACAAGTCAATTTTCTTTCACTGTCTCTTTACTGCAAATTTTCCACAAACAAAAGATGGCGACTCCGCTGGGGACAAGCTTCTGTGACGAAGAAGTGGTGGCGCAATCCGACGTTCATCTCACTGGAACAACCGTCGAAACTCTCATGGTAAAGTTTGATCAAGCCAAGTTTGAGGAGGCCCTCTCCTCCGGATCCCTTAGCCCCAAGGCTATGCGCAAGATCCACAAAGTCTCCAAAGAGACTAAAGCTCCAACTTCTCCAATTGCAGCCGAACCGCCTAAGGAAGACTGCTCGGACAGCCCCTCCCCCGATGGAGTGGGCTCAGCTTCAGCCAAACCCGTGCCAAGACGACGGGTATCGGGTCGAAAGGTGCCCATAGAGGCGACAAAGGCCTTGAAGCAGGCTAAGAAGAACGCCGCTCGGCGAAGAAGAAGATCTCGACGACGAGCACAACTTCGAGAATGCCGATCCTCAAGTCAACACGGGCTTCGTGTTTGTGAGCCTAAACGCAACCATGTGCTCTGCGTTTCTAATTCAGAACGCAAGCCTCGCGTCCATGAGCCCAAACATAGGCTCTGTGTGAATAAGACTGAACGCAGCCCTCAGAACTGCGTTTCATCAGCAAAACCTGAAGCTCAGGCATGCGTTCGGGTGACAAAACCCAATATAGAACCTGGTGTATACCGTAGAGCTTCGTGGATTGGGCTTGGTCCACCAAAACTATCACGTTAATGATCACCTATGATAGTCCATTTTCTCTAAATTCTCCTACCAATCCTCTTCAATAGGATGGTGGGTCCACCAAAACTATCACGTTAACAATTACCTCTGATAGTTTATTTCCTCCAAATTTCCCCACCGATCCTCTTCAAGTAGGATGGCGGGTCCACCAAAACTATCACGTTAACCGTCACCTCTGATAGTCATTTTCCTCCAAATTTCCCCACCAATCCTCTTCAAGTAGGATGGCGGGTCTATAAAAAACTATCATGTTAATGATTACCTCTGATAGTCTATTCCTCTAAATTCCCCCACCAATCCTCTTCAAGTAGGATGGCGGGTCCACCAAAACTATCACGTTAACCGTCACCTCTGATAGTCCTGTTCCTCCAAATTCCCCCACCAATCCTCTTCAAGTAGGATGGCGGGTCCACAAAACTATCACGTTAACAGATTACCTCTGATAGTTCATTTCCTCCAAATTCCCCCACCAATCCTCTTCAAGTAGGATGGCGGGTCCACAAAACTATCACGTTAACAGTTACCTCTGATAGTCAAACTCATCAGATAATAGCCTACCAGGTGATGCGCCTCTATTCCGACTTCATGGATAGTGCCCCACTAGGTGATGTGCCTTGTCTACCTCTTTTTATTCCCCTGTTAAGTCTTAATCAAGACTGGGGGTTGGTTACTTGGAATCCATTGGATTAAGAGTAATAAATCTTTCACATCGTCAAGTTAACATTACACTTCTGACGATCATCACCCCACAGAGTATGAATGCAGCTTGCATCACTCCTAATTTGTCACGTTAACAATACACCTCTGACAAAATTCACTTATCAATCCTCTTCAATAGGATGATAAGACCTCAAATTTGCTCAAATCGCTATCTTCCCCAGCAAGACACTAAGTCTTCAAAATCTTAGTATCAAAATTCATCGCTCCTGATGATAAACTCACTTAGCAATTCTCCCCAGCGAGACGCTAGTCCCCAAAATCTTGTTCAAATCACAAGTACACAATCTTGTCACGTTAATATCAAACACCTCTGACAAAATCAACTTATTAATCCTCTTCAATAGGATGATAAATCCTCAAAGTTGCTCCAATCGCAACACAAATCCTGTCACGTTAACACTAAACCTCTGACAAAATCCACTTATCAATCCTCGTCAATAGGATGATAAGTCCACAAAGTTGCTCTCATCGCAACACAAATTCCTGTCATGTTAACATCATACCTCTGACAATCCACTTATCAATCCTAGTCAATAGGATGATAAGTCCACAAAGTTGCTCTCATCACAACAAATTCCTGTCATGTTAATATCACACCTCTGACAAACCCACTTATTAATCCTCATCAATAGGATGATAAGTCCCACAAAGTTGCTCTCATCGCAACACAAATTCCTGTTATGTTAATATCAAACCTCTGACAATTAACTTATCGACTCTCCCCAATAGAGCGATAAGTCCTCAAAGTTGCTCCGATCGCAACATTCTCCTGTCATGTTAACATCATACATCTGACAAAAACCCACTTATCAATCCTCATCAATAGGATGATAAGTCCACAAAGTTGCTCCAATCGCAACACAACCTCGTCACGTTAACATCACACCTCTGACAAAAACCCACTTATCAATCCTCATCAATAGGATGATAAGTTCACAAAGTTGCTCTAATCGCAACACAATCTTGTCACGTTAATATCAAACACCTCTAATAGAATCAACTTATCGACTCTCGTCAATAGAGCGATAGGTCCTCAAAGTTGCTTTGATCGCAACACTTTCCACTTATCGACTCTTATCAACGGAGCGATAGGTCCATAAAAATACTGTTAGGTT